GACAGAGGTTCACAGTAATCAGAATTTTCACCAAAATGAATCTGACATGAAAATTAATTCAACTGCAAAATAACCCTTGGGTGTTGTGTTTTCAGAATGAAAGAATGTGTGTGTGCATTTTGTGTATGCAAGAGTTTATTTAAAAAATGAAGGCAGAAGTGCTGTCGTTATTGTTGTTGCCATTAAACTCCTGTAGTCACAGGAAAAGAAAAGAAAAAGGATAAGACACAACCTCAGCTGATTGCTAGCTCCCCTTGTGGAAGGGACACTGTTTACAGGGCTTTTCAAGAGAAGGTGTTTGTTGGTAAGCACCAGCTCCAGGCTTACACAACTCGACAAGAAGACGTGCTTTATATATTTCACAACTGTCTTTCCACCTAATTAAAAGGAGACTCATCGCAGTGCCTCTTCTCCAAAACACTCGGCAGATGCAGAGGCCTTTCCTGCTGAACTCTCTTGCTGAGGAAAAGCAGCTTCCTGTATTAAGGCCGCTTTGTGTTTGAAGCCAGCCTCATTCCAGAACGGTGAGCCTTCAGAGCCGCTCACATACCGCAGTGCTTGTTATGGGCAGACGGGGGCTCTGAAGTCTTCCCCTGCCTCCTACATAATTAATTTCAAGGCTGTTCAAGCTGCCAAACCTCTGTGAAGCAGAACACGGTGAGTCCAAAAAAGGCGGGGAGGCATCCCACGAGAAATCTCCTCGGGCTTATTGTTTCAAAGCATCGGCTGTTATCCTTGCACGTGGACAACACCAGTGTGTACAAAAGGGAGGCGGTTGCACATAGGCTGGGGAATGCTGTACATTTCGACATATGTGCAGGCAACCCAGATAGGGGAAAGTGCCTGAGCAGAAGGGGACAAAGGTCTGAATTGCAACCAAGGATCGTTTGCATCTTTGCAGGGCAGGATTCCCCTTCTTGGATGCACACCTTAATGTGGAGAGGGGTTGAGGTTACAAATCTCACGGAAGTGAGGTCTATCAATGGCTGCTAGTTGTGACAGAGATGTATTACCTCCCAGGCAGTAAACCTCTGTATACCTGTTGCTGGAGAACACACCTGGACTGCACCTGGGCTTGGCAGAGAGCTTGTTCCTGGCCAGCTGGCTGTCTTCTATGTCCCCATAATAATGCTCCAGATGGATCCCGGGTCTGATCCAGCACGACCCTCCTTATGTTCCTACACTGATAATCACTTCTGAGCAAGAACTTGAAGTCAACCCACATGACGGTTGCCCTGCATGATTATTACATCTGTCAGGTTTTCACCGCAAAATGATGCACGGTGTTACAGCCAAGTACTGCATTTCAGCATTGCATGATATTATGATCTCCACCTGGGTTTGCTGAAGAGTCTGGCAAGCACTGGCATTACTGAGAAAGCTGAAGCAGCTCAGAGGCCCAGCCAGATCAGGGCAACCGAGTGCCTATTAAGGGAAGCCACTGCTGCTCATTTTGCCAGGCTGCTGGAAGAACGCAAGCCCTGGTGGTGTAACAGCAGCCGGCACAAAGACTACAGGAAAGGTGAAATGGGTCTGACTCCAGTGTGCAAGCAGGAAACCTTCAGTAGTTGTTGCAAAGAGCCTGGTCAAGAGACTCTTCACTCATTATTTGCTTCTATGGTTACATTATGCATCATAATGTGTTTCAGACAGAGCCTGTCTTGTTTATTAATTCCCTCTTGGAGACCGGTTATTTTTATATCTGCTCTGTATCCCTCTCTGTTTGCCAGGCAGATACATCTCCATACATTGGTGATAACAGATTGTGCTAAACTGGTCTCCATCTAAGGGGCCCCAATCTAGATAGAGAAGGAGAGTTACAGAGGAGGGAACCCAACCCTTTTCGCTTATGCCACAACCTGGAACAAACGGCCCTCCAAAGCTGCTCTTTGACCTGGGAGGAAAGCTGCTCTTCCGCCAGAAAGAGCTTCCCCTCTGAATCAGATAAATGGGGAGGGGGCAGCACTGGTCTTTTGCTAGGCTTGCAACAGGGGGAGACGCCTCTTCTGTGCTTTGACCCCAAGACTGATCAGGCCCTGCCTGCTGTTTTCAAAGCCAGAGAAAAAGATGAAAACAAAGACACCTGATTGACATAACCTGTCTTTTGATCGTGTGTGTCACGGACTGGAAGTTGTTTTTTACTACCTTGTAGGGTTAGATCAAGCTTTAGTCATATCTGCAGCAGGCCTGTTGAAATCAATGGAATTTAGGTTATTCATGACTAGCTGATCCATGAAGATTTCATGGGTCTGTTCTTCATTTTCCATGGGTCTTCTCAGTCTTGCACCAGGATTCTGGTCATAGTCATGCTGTATTAAAATGGGGCTCATTGAGGTACAATTGAAGTCTGGTTGAAATCCAGGCCTGATTCAAAGTCCTGGCACTAACATTCTAGATTGCCTCTTCCCACTTATACCTACCCAGAGCCTCAGGTCACATGGGTGGCTATTCGGAGGAGGGCCTTTTTGGTTGTGGCACCCTGCTTTGGGAATGAGCTTCTCAAAGAGGGGTGCCTGGTGTTCGCTTTGTACTCTTTTCAGCACCAGGCGAAGACCTTTTTATTTTCCTGGCATTTTAATCATCTGCTGTGTTTCTGTGCTGAATAATAGCAATTGCAATTATGGTTTTGTTCTTTTAATTTTATTGTTGCGCCTTTTTAACTTACGTTAACCACCCAGAGAGCTTCAGGTGGTATATAAATGAATTAATCAAACAAACAAGCAAACAGTTTGAGGGCAAGCAGCCACTGAATTAAAAGTGGGGAAAGTCAACCGATGCTTGGGAGGCATCTATCCTCTGCTGCATGATCTGGGGAGCACCGTGATGGAGAAAGATTCCATAGGGTTTTGCATTTTTATCTCTTCTGTTATTATCTAATCAATGCATCAAAACAGTTTGTTCCCCCTGTCCCTTATTTGCATTTGGCACAGTACCTATATTTCCCCAACTCTTTCTAGCCACAGTGCCTTCTCTCTTTCTAAATGACTTTTTTTCCTATGGCATAAGGACCCAATGTAGCAAATCTAGGACAGGCATACTATTTTTTTAAAAAGAAGAAAAAAAATCTAAATACTCTTACAAGCCGTAAGGTCAAAGCCTCAGGCTGGCGTTTTTGTGTGAATACAATATGTAACATCCTTTGGTAATCATCTTTTGATATTTCACTGCTTTGCTTTGTGGCGTGTTCCACAGCATCTCTCTTAAGAGAGGCAGCTGATATGTCTATGGGTGCTCCCAGACAGAGGGGTCCTGGGCTAACTCTCAAAAGGCATTGTGCAGCTACCTTAGTTTTTCTTCCCCAACAGTTGTTGGTGCTGTTGTTATCCTCCCTACTAGAAAAAACAAGCACTGGAAAGACACGGGAGGGCTGTAAACAGAAGGCGCTGGTGGGTGGGACTCTTTTAAAATTCCATGAGTGAGAGAACGTGCTTGTGCAACAGAAGCCTCCTTGGGACGTTCGTGGAGCCATAGTTTGCTATGCTGGGGACTCCTTTTTGTGCACTGCAATCAGCTGATAAGATAGTTTCTGATTCTAAATGCATTCTTCTAAGAGCAGCTTGCACAGTTAGCAGCTTGAGAAGTGGGGCATGCTTAACGACCACATCTGACTTCCCATTATGGGCTCCTCAAATTTCCTGGTCCCCCGCCCCCGGGTCTCAGACTGCAAGAACAAGGATGTAGTAGAATACCCAGCAGACCACAGTGCATGACCCGTGGGCTACAGACTGGCTGGAAGAGACACAAAATACGCAGGCCAGTTTTAAGACCTCGGAAGAGTCTTATTTACAGCTCCATGCAACAAGCAGCAAGAAAGCACATGCACACAATTCTAAAAATTCCTTATCATATGAACCCCAGTCAGCCAGCCAATCAACCAATAACGAGTTTAATAAATTTCTCCTGTGTAAGTGTGTGAGTTATTTCTTTTGCTACCAAAGGAAAAATATTATTTACTAAAGGTATGTAACTTAAATTAGCCATGGGTCTTCTGCCTTTAAGTGGTCATATCTTTACATAACCTGTGATAGGTCTAGGCTGGTATAGCTGAATTTCTTGCCATTACAGGCTGATCCATGTAACTATTCCAGGACAGCTGAGGGATGAGGATAATCACTAAAAGCACTTTCTCTTCAGTATTGACATGGTAACAGAAATGATATGGAAGACAGATGACACGTTCCTAGACCAAAAAATGCTGGGAAGCAAAGCTTTTTCCTGGACACGATCTTACCCTATAGGAACTTCACCACAAAAATATTGAGGGGAAGAACAATCTATTGGTGATTCCTCCAGCTCAGTAATGGCAGCCTTAACCTGCTTCAAGAATCAACATGGGGTTCCACAGTTCTACAGACAACAACCAACTGCCACTTGGCATTGGTGAGAATAAGACGGTGATATGAATCAAGCTCAGCTAAAAGAAGTCTGCTCCTAGCTCAGTGTGTGCGTACACTGCCTCAGTCCATCTCTTTAGTCTACATGCTCGGTATACAACCAAGAAGTGGAAAAATGCCAATGAACTTCTTTTAAAATGCCTGTAAGAAAAGAATGATATTTTCTCTCAGTCCAGTACTACCCTCTTGTACATATACCTTCTTCAGAACCATAGGTCTTGCAGAAAGAATTCATAAAACAATTGCTTGGGTAGTTCAGGTGAACACATGCTCTTGCTTCAGTGAGAAAAAACCTAGATTCCATGCCTGATCCTGTTCTTCCTCATTACTCACATTTCGGAATGGCAGCCCAGGGTTGCAGGTGTGATTCTATGCCAGGTGGCAACACAACAGTCTCTGATCAAAGTAGGAGAGCAGGAGAGAGAACCAAGATCTCACTCAACAGGAGAATGTTTCCCCCATATAGACCAGTGCAGAGAAGTTCTTGTGGTATCTAGTATGTATGCATATACAGTGTCAAGTCTTGTGGATATTGCTCAGTTAGCCCAATTTGGACAAGTCCACTAGCTTTTCCTCTTTCTTCAGTTATTGGCCTTGAATACTTACCATCCCATAGTAGGTGTTATCTGTCCAACCCCACTTGGAGGGAGGGAATAGAACCCAGAAATATCTGATGTTTGAGAAGGACGGTGTACACCTAAGGGAGAATCAAGACATTAGGAAAATCAAGCGGAGGAATTCTTAGCTTTCTCTTAAGATGTACTAGCATGGATAAAATGGCCCCTTTCAAAAGATCTAGCTGCTGTTAACATTACATAAGCAGTTTCGATTATTCACTCTCTCTCCCTCTGCTTTGTTTATGACCCAAATAAATTTTCTCAGATTTTCTTATCTATGAATATTCTCTTCAAAGAAAATGGCAGGCAGACAGGCATGGTAGGGTATCAATAGGGGTAGCAAGTGCAGGAAATGAGTGGGATAAAAGTATCCAGAGTACAGAGAAGATAAAGATGATGCAGGAGATCAGTTGAGGTATGGCAGCGAAGGGGTGGCAAGTGCAGGAAGTGAGTGGGACAAAAGTAACCGGAGAAGATAAAAGATAAAGTTGATGTGGTGTAATAGCTAACAGAGTTGGGAAGTCCCTGGTTCAAATCTCACCCCTGCCACAAGCTCATCAGATGGCTTTGGGCCGGCTTCAGCCCCGTATCTGCAGTATTGGGATGCCACTGGCCAGCTTCATGGGGCCATTGTAAGGATGACAGAGATAATGTTTGCTTACTGATGATGATGATGATGATGATGATATTAGGAAACACCATTAAAATAAGCAACTAATTCTTATACTTGGAGTTGGGAAAGTCATTTGTCCCCGTGAGTGAGTGGGATGTGAGAGTGAATGGAGAGGGGAAAAGGTATCTTTTTCTGCTTCCCGATCTATCCGTCTCCTTGCTGTGGCCCAGTTTTCTACGATAAACTACATGTGTTGGTCTGGCTTAATTTTTCCTTGTCCGTCAGGAGTTTAGGAAAAGTACCCAGTTGCTGCTCTTTCTGCTGAGCACAGAAGGACCTCCATAGTATGGCCTAACATCACTATACTCTTTATGATTCCTTAGTTTAAAATAGCTTATGTTCTTCATTATGCAATAAGAAACAGCACGTTAATTACAATAAATGCTGCCCTGAGTTTTTGTTTTAAAATGGTGGTTGCATTAGGCTGTATTCTCATTGGGTTTGAAGCAAGTGCATTACGGTCTGCAGGGCTGATCAGCACACTTACACTCATGACACCAACTGAGCAGGTGTAGGACTCTACTGGAAAACCTCTGATGTGATATGAAAGCTTTGCCAGAGGTCCTCGTTTGGTGCCACATCCACTGCGTATGCAAACTCAGTTCAAGGGTGGAAACAGATGATTGCTAATTACGCGGAGCCATATGGTGCTTGTAACCTGCTGAGAGATGGGCCCACTGTAGCCCCCAGCTGGTCTTACAATTTTCACGTAATTGCTCTGAATTCTAGAAAGGAGCATGGGGTGTGGTAATACTGATTCAGAATCGGCCAGCTCTCCAGTCTTCCACATCCACAGTCCATCTGAAGAGATGAAGCACTACCATCTCACCACATGCCCAGGTATGTTTCAGACATGTGCTTTGCATTCATGGTCACTTTCAACATCATGATGCTCATTTATGCTGACACTCCACAAGAATAAAGTTGTCATGTCTGAAACAAATGCTATGCTCTCCAGAATTATACCAAAATCATCTTAATCACTGATTGATGTGAGCAGGATTCCTCCTGACCCAAGGCCTTAATTTTCAGTCTGTGGAAATGACTTAGGAAGGCTCCCTTGTCAGAACAGATGTGGAAGAGATACATGTCTAGTGCATGGCAATTCCAAAGACCTTGGTAGAGAATCTTACTGGGTTACATTCAGTGGCACTGGCTATGATCGTAACTTTGATGGCTTTACATTCGAGAAATATGGCTATGAGGGGAATCCACAGAGACTTTCAAAGCCCCTTAAAGGGTCATGAGACTTTTCTGTGTGTATGTTCAAGGACGTTTGAATATAAGGTGTTTTGTTCTATATTCCCTGAAGAACTGGGCAAGATTTGAACTATCCTCACTTATCACTTCCTGACAGACTTGGATATTTGCCCTGAGCTGAAGTTCATCCAGTTTATACTTTAACTGTTTGTATTATTTTTCTGTTGGGTTTAATCTACTCTGAAAGCTGGTGAACACCTTAAGATATGAAAGAGAGGCAAACTGAGCACATTTGGTGTGTGCAGAGCAGGAGAATGAGAAATCTTCTGAGGACAGGCAAATCTCCTCAGAATTTACAGTGGTGCAATTTATGCTGGGATAATATTTTGAGAATTTTCATAAACTGACACATTTTCATGCCTACGTCAATAATCCCAGTGTTTGGCAGCCTGTTAAGCAAACTTGGTACATTGCTTTGCCACCACTTAGAAGCTTGGGGGGGGGGGGAATGCTTGGGGTAAGACAGACAGACAGACAGACAGAAAAGAGAACAGGAAACTGGTAATTATGTCTGTGAAACTACCCAAATAAATAAGAAAGAAAAGGAAAAAAGAGCTACTCCAGAAAGGCATAAGGAGAAAGACCAAGAGTAGAACATCTTTTATATCTTTCAAGCCATATTTGTTCAGAAATGCTGCACTGAAGGTGGAAGCAAATGTTTACAAAGGTCAGGTAGGATTGCACCTTCCCAGAACACATGTGAATAATTTCTTCTCAGGAAGCACATTCATGTTAAAGGCTTGAAGAGAGAGAACACTGGGCAGCAGCAGAATGTGTGTTAAGGAACATGGTAGTCCAGAGGCCGTAGAATAAAGGGGGGCAGAAAAAGTTCTTGAGAAACAGCCTTGTGCAAGAGCCTTTCAAATTAAAGATCAGCCGGGTTCAGGCCAGCTCTTTTCTCACATGATGGCCTTCCACTCACTTGGAAACTGCCTCAGTAAGTGGAAGTGGTCCTTTGGATCCAAGCTATCATATTTCTGCATGTGGAAAACTAGCAGAGGAGCCTATTGTGTTTTCTGCTATGTAGATCGCCAGTTGGAACAAATCTGTGAGGACTGTACCATTTGCTCTTACTGTCTGAATTAGTCTGAGTTGGGATCAACAGACATGCAGGCCATAAAAAAATTCAGATGCACAAGAAATCTGTGTCTTGGTGACTGCAGCTACTGGCTTGTGAATGTAAAGTTCTGGGTAACTGCTAGATTATGAATGAAATGGCTTTGTTGTTATCGTCATCATCACCATTACTGCCTCTTCTTCTAGACCTAAGGAATTAGATAGATTTTTGCTTGCTCGTCTCTATCTCTCATTACTAAAATACATAGCTGCATCTATTATTAAAAGCAGTAAAAAGCATCATTATTAGAGAACTGAGGTAAAAGTTGTAATAGGGCTCTATTCAACCCAGACTGTCTGCTATCAGGACAGAAGCCACTGGCAGAAAGCTTTTCCCCTCCAAATGCACACCTCCAGATGTGCTCCAAAGGGGTTGGGATCCCTTCACAGAGGATTTAGAAGGTACAAAGGGAGCTGCAAGGGAAGGTGAGAGGAGATAATTCTGTTTGTGTGATACTGTGCTGCAGCCATTGCTTGTAAAATCCTGTAGATCCTTGCCTGTCCAGTCAGTCAATTCTAATTTTCCTTACCTTGTGGAACACAATTTAGAATAATAAAAGAAATGGAGCAACGAGAACAACCTCTGTGTTGTCTGTTCACAGGTAAGCCCCACTGAACTGGGAAGGGCTTGCTCCCAGGTGAGTGAGTACAGGTTTCCAGCCTGTGCTGTTGGCTTCATAGGGATATGAGGTACCAATTAATTTTGTCTCACTATTTTTTTTAATCCAGCAGTTCTTAATTAATACAGAAATGCTGCTCACATTCCTTCCTTTATATGCTCCATGCTATCACTATGACATTGTGCTCACTGCAAATGAGGAAGACATAGTTCAAACAGAGAACAAAATTATCGTGAGAATGTTAAAACTTCCATTACTTTACTGTAATCATTCAGCCAGACAGAGATCCGGCCTGGGCTGTGATGTATTTCTCATTTACTTAGATGGGCTTTGAAGGGATGCCCTCCAGAGGCTCCGCTGAAGTGAAGCCTTAACTGGGCCTAGACTGCTCAGGGCACATCTTAGCACTGTATGGTGTCTGCCCAAAATGCCAGTAAAGTGGTGATGCAGCCAAGACCAAAACCCACAGCTAAACCCACACAAATCGCACCATCAGTCAAGGCTAAACTAGGTGAGGGACAGGAGAGTTATGATTAGGGTCTCGCAGGGGTTTATTTTTATTAAAAATGAATTAGTGATGTCGTGTGAGTACCTGAAGTCTGAGGAAGAAATGCTCTTGGACACCTTCCTTTCTTGCCATTTTCCTCATTTAAATGTCCTTCTACAGCCTGGCTGGTTATGGTCTTTTCAACACCTTTTTGTTTTCCCACACATTTCAGATCGTGTTGTGTTGGGTTTTGTTTGTTTGTTTGTGGTTTTATTTTGTGGTGCACTTTTTACCCACTGGTGTTGATTTTACTTTGTGCTATTTTCTTATTGTTTCAGTGGGATTTTATATAGTACATTTAAAATTCAATTTTCTAACCACAGAGCTTAAGCTTTTGAGTGGTCCAAAGGTATTAAAATGAAAGAGATAATTAATTAAATTAGTGCCTCTTTAGGGATGGAAGAGAGATACAGCATCTGTACCAAGGTTCCTCCCCATCAACTCCTTGGAGGTAATGGCAGCTCTTCTCTGTGTGTGTGTATATAATTCAAGATGGGAATGAAAGGATTAGACATCCTTTCCTTGAACACCACTCTTTCCCAAACTTCAGTGCAGCGATGCAGAGTTGCTAATTATTAAAACAAACCAAACCAGCAACACTGAGACACCTCAATGATAAATCTTTTGCTTCAGGCCTTAACACTCAATTATTGGCTTTATGGTGCTGCAGTAAAGCAGGCTGGGTTGCTCACAGGGTCCCAGTCCTACAAGGCTTTTATCACGAATACAGCTCAGCTGATGTATCCTCGGCTAACCATTTCGTCACATCGGTTTGTGTGTGTTAAATGGCTCTTCTACTGGAAACCCCAGGGTTTTACAACAGGAGTGGGGTGGAGCGCTTATGTAATACTTGTTTGGAAAAGCAAACCCAAACCACAACAAAAAGCCCAGCTTCGGGAAGAAGGCCATTTGGAGCAAGGAAGCAGCAAGCGAAAGGGTAAGCCCTTTCTTCACCTGCAGCTTCTTCATTCCATGTCAGCCCATATTCTACTTCCACGGCCCACCTGGCTGCATATTTACCTTTGCAAACATCTGTTTTGCACACACCAGGCAAGGAGGCGGCAGCCTGCAGTGGGAACTGGCCAGCAGGGGCAGGGTTAAGCGCCTCTCCTGCCGCTGCTTTTCTGCACATGGTCCTGCCAAAGCTGGTGCTCTTGACACACTGGCACATGCATGTACCCAGCAGTAATGTGCTTGAACAAAACATGTAAATGCATCTTCAGGACGACTTACTGAACAGTGTGTAAAATGGGCCAAGTTGGCTATGAAATACAGTCGGAAGGGAGCGAATGTGGGTAGGAAATGCTAAGCCCATCACTGGAGTGCGGCTTCAACACACACCTTTCCCAGAGATGTTCAGTGCCCCCAGTGTTACAGAAGAGGTGGATGGTTACCTTGTTTCTGGCTGATGTCGGCTGGCAGATGAGGTGAATGGGAGCCATGGCTGAAATGTTCGTTGCTATACGGGATGAGAGGGGTGAGCGGGTGAACACCATGGGACGGCTGTACTACAGGCACCTTGTTGGACTGAAAAACACAAGCCAGAGGAGAGAAGGGTGAGCTTCATGATGCGGGGGATCATAAAGAATTCAGCATCCCCAAATGACAAGGCCTGTGTCAGTCTCATTGCGGCTGGCTGAGTCAGGACAATGCAAAGCCTGCTGGACAGCCACCGGGGAAGCCTTCACACAGGGGTGTTGCGCCTCTTCCAGCTGGAGAGCCGGATACTGTTTCAGAGAAGGTCTTAAGGCCCACTTTCCAGCAGCGCATAGGGCTGAAGGCAAGAGGGGCAGGCAGATGCAAGAAAATGCCCATATATTTTACCCTGAAGCATTTTCTGCTGGTAGCGAATGATAAGGATTGTAATAGGTGCATTCAAGGGGGGAATTCTTGTGCACACCTGCCATAGCACAGTCATGAATTAAATGCACTGTGCTCTCATGGGAAGGCTTTGTCAATAGCTAGATTATTTCTACTATATGGCCTTTCCCATGTGAAGGGCTTCTTTCCATTAAGACCCCAAAAACAGTGTCCAAATTGACAGTGCTGATGGGACTAGGCAATCCTGGCACGACACTGCGGCAGCTGCGTAGATGAGGCGATGGGGCTGGTCTTTAGCCCAGAATTATGCTGCCCCTCTCTGGGGGGTGTGGATTCCACAGAAGGACCTGCAAGCCCGGCCCCCACCCTGTGCTTGCGGGGCCTTTCGACGCTGCAGCAGCACCATGGGATGGGGCTGTGAGGAAGCCCTTCCCCTGCGGCGCTGCTGAAAGGTGCGCAAAGCAGCCCTGTGTGTCGTCGCAGAGGCACCAGGGCCGTCTTAACGCATGGGCCTGATGGGCACTTGCCCGTGGGCCCCATACTAATCTGTGTATGTTAACCCTTGGAAAATGGGAAAACTTCCAAAATTAACAGTAGTCGCAGTTGTCATAGGGGCCCCAGTACACGGCTTTGCCCGGGGCCCAGAATGCTGCTAAGGCGGCCCTGGGAGGCACCACCAGGATCCAGTGGCCCAGGCCGCTGCGCTGTGCGTTGGACACAGACATGCTGCGCTGGATTCGTCCAACTTGGCAGAAGAATGGCCAGCCATGGAACGGGATCCATCAGGGGTTTTAGGAGATGTCATTCCACATTAGGAATCCATTCTTCCAATGTAAGGCACTAGCATATGACATTCAGTTACTGCCTTTTCTCTACTGCAAGAGGACGAGATGATAGAAGATGATCCCTCCAGAATTGTTATATTTTGCCTTAAAATATATCTTTGGGCTTAAAGCGTTTACACCTGAAAATGGTCTGTATGAATGGGGCAAACTGGACATAACCTCCCTCTCAAAGAACTTGCAGTCTTAAAATTCAAGGGTCATTTCTCCCATTGCTGGGCACTTATATAAACTTTCCACCTTTTAAAATGGATAGCTCAAAATTAGGCCAGCTGATCAATTTTCCTCTGGACTAAGGACCCACCAACACTGGTAAATGCAGGTTCTGTCCCTGTAAATGACATTAATGTAATTCACCGCTTGCCTAACCTGGTGCCTCCAGAAAAAAATAAAATTCTTTTTTGTCGAAAAGGAAAAAACGGGAAAAGAAGAATAGCTTGTGAACTGTTGACCCTTTCCTACTACAGCAAGCACAGACAAACCAGTCTGAAAAGAAGAAGAAAAGACGCCATTGTGCCACTTGGAGAACATACACACAACCTTCCTGAGTGCTGCAAGCATTCCTGCCATTTCATACTTGCCCAGTTTCGCCCACAGTTGCCTTTAAATTGACACTGACTTTGCAACAACCAAAAATAAAAAAAATCAAGGTTTGTCACTTTAAAATCCAAAGGTACTTAATGAACAGCACAATAAGGGTTGTATTAATGCTACATGTGAAAAATGAAGTCTTATGAGTTGCTTCATGCATTGCACATTTTATATGGAAAAAACACTTCCAAGCGGGGAGGAAAGAAATAGAGAGGGAGAGAATGAATGGATGAATGGATGAAAACAGTCTCCTGAGCAACATTCCCATAGCTGTGCACTTTCTGGAGTGTACATAGGATGTGATGTGTATACATACTTGGAAGTCGTAGTCTACTGTCTTTGGGGACCTAACTTGGTCTCGCAGGGGACATGTAGGTGCCACCTGCCTGTTCACAGAACCCCCATATTCTACAAGTAATGCTTTGTAAATGAAATGTGTAGGGTGGTTAGCTTTCTCCTGCCCTCTGCTAGTAGCAGCCAATGAGACCAAAGTGGACCTTTTTATTTAAACAATATTTTAACAAATTTTAATATCACCTATAGGTTTTTAATTTACAACCAGGGTGAATCTGGATTTTAATTTGCACTAGTTGTATTTATTGTTTATTTATTGTATGTAAGCTGTCCCGAGGTTCTTGCGATGGGACGGGATACAAAAATTCTAAATAAATAAAATAACATAAAATAAATAAATGACATCAGCTCTGTATGTGCAGCAAAATTTGCTATCCTCATTAGGGTCTCCAGCTTCTGAATGGATAGATAAATATGGTGTTACTTGGGGAAAGGGTGAAGGGTAGGAGATGGAGCCCCCAGGAAATGCTTGGTTCATTTGCATGACTTGCCACTAGGTAATACCACCCCCACATGCTATAAAGGGAACACAAATCATATCCCTCCCCCAGCGGGCTATGATAAAAAAGGGCCAGAAATAAGTTGCAAGTTATTTGCAGGTGGATATGTATAGCTGATAATTCAAGAAAGTCAGACAAGCCCGATACCACAGATGAAGTCATATATATCTATCACAGCAGCAAGGAATTAAACAAGTCAGAAACACGGGCAAATAAGGAATACTGGGAGATGATGTATTCAGGGCTTCTAGATGAACTCCATCAGGAATGAAAAATGTAAGCCTGGGTCTCTCACAAGCAGGACACAAAGTGTACTTTTGGTTTTACTACATCAGGCCTTAATCCAGGAAAACTCCTAGCAGAAAGCATAAAAGCACAGCCTACCCATAAAACCAGCTTCAGGTAGAGCAAAAGCGTGTGGACACAGATGGAATGGTGGCCCCTCCCTGCGGAAGCTATGAAGGCCTAGACTGGCTCAGCAGAGGTGTTGTCACGGATGTTGACTTGCAGGTGCTCCTCATGACACTCGCTGCAGCCACAGCTGCACGAGCCAAAAATGTAGGCAGTTCTGTTGACCCATATTCACAAACCAGTTCCAGGTGTTTTCAATTGCTAGCAGCAGGTCCTTTGTAAAGCAAATGGGTCTTAGTTACCCATTCCAGACCAAGCCAGCCCACCATACTTTACATTACAACATCGATGGGGAAGATCCGCCTTCCCTGCCCAGATACTGTGAGGACTGCGGCTAAGGCCAGTGGTGACAGGAATTTGGAAGTGGGTGGGAGATGACATCAGCATCCCTGGGAACTAAAAAGTGCTGGCACCATGTGCCTTTAGCACACCTTCACAAGCCAGGCTCTGGATGAGAGGCCAACTAGGATTCTGGTGTTGCTGCCTTGAATTCCACCATGGACATAAAGTGGGATTTAAATATAAAAGTGAGGGTTTATTCATTCCTAAGCAAATCAACAGCAAAGCTATGCAGCAGAGCACATGGGTTTCAGACCTGTTAGCCCTGGTATTTTAACACCTTGAACATTAATGCTGGTCTTTTGGTTTTGGGTTTTTTAAAGCATTATATAGTTCTTATCAAAGAATTGTTGCTAGTTGCAAAGTCGTGTCTGACCCATCGCGACCCCATGGACAACACTCCTCCAGGCCTTCCTGTCCTCCACCATCCCCCGGAGTCCACTTAAGCTCACGCCAACTGCTTCAGTGACTCCATCTAGCTATCTCATCCTCTGCCGCCCCCTTCTTCTTTTGCCGTCTATCAAAGAGTACATTGTTCCTAAAACTGGACTCTGGTTTAAAGATTTGAAAAATACCAGTGAAATAGATGTGTCCACATTCTCCTAGCCTGCCTCAACAGCCTGTCAGAATCCCCTCCTCCTCCTCCTCCTCCTCCTCCTCCCTTCCCTTGATGGATCCAGTGATACCACCACTGACTACAAACAGGATCCAAGGAGAGTTTTCCTGTGGACTACAGTACACCTCCAAGTTGGCACTAAGAGCATCCAGGTGGCCTCTGGAAGGTTAACTTCTACTTGGTGCCTTCCCAAATGTCTTGTGGACAAACACCTGCAAACTCATTTCTGTTAGTTACCAGAGATATAATTTCTTTCTTTTGTTTAAAGAGATAAGCAGGTACCACCACAGTCAGTCAAATACACCCATTCTAACCACAGAGTTCATATGACATAACAGACATCAGGCATTTGACTTCTGTGGTGAACCTCTGTCATAGCAGGGTCTGCAAGGGGGGGTGTGGGGCTTGCGTTGGGAAAGGCAGCTGCAGCTCTGAGAAATGTGAGAGTGTCGACACACTTGGTGTTCCAGCTCTTAAGGATGTTGTGTTGCTGTTTTCTAAGAGCACAGAAGCAATACCACTCCAAGGGGAGAGATAAGATGAGAGGGGGACAGTGCTCCATGATACGTCCATTTGGGAATGGCTGACTCAGTGTCCTGTCATATTCAAAATACTAAATGGGAGTGGACATGGCTCAGTGGCAGGGGAACTGCCTGTATGCACAAAGTCCCAGGTTCCATTCCTGGCTTTTCCAGAAGGGGCAAAGAAAGACTTCTACCCAAAACCCTGTGGAGCCCATCCGTGTGGACAACGCTGGGCTAGACAGACCAAGGGTCTTGCTCAGTATAAGGCTTGGGGCTCCTGGGGAATTATTTTTGAATTCTGTATAATTTTGATACTTACACTGTGGCATTTTTATTGCTTGATTTCATGATTGTCAACCACACACATGCACGCAATTTCATAGGACCATAGAACTGTGCAGAGTGGGAAGAAGCTAATAGGGCCATTGGGTCCAATTCTCTGTTCGTTGCAGGACTCCAAGTTAAAGCCCTCCTAAGAGATGGCAGTCCAGCTGCATCTTGAATATCTCCTGCATGGGAGAGCCCACAA